CAAGGGCAGAATATAATTCAACCCACTTCATGCGCAATGGATTTTGACCCTGATGAATTTTTAAAACATTTGAGAAACAAGAGCCAGCAACAAAGCGCAAACCCCCAGCATGTGTTTGGAGAAGTGGAACCTGCATTCCAAACCTTTGGAGGATTAGTGAATCCGAGAAAAGACGAAGAAGAAATCGAGGAACCCATAAAAAATAATTATTTTTGTAATTAATTGTGAAATCATGGATTAAAGTACACGATTTTAAAGTACTTTTTGATTGTCTGTTTGATTTTGAGTGTTTGCACGTGGATTAGCGAAAACAAAGAGAGGATAAGAAATCAGTTTTTGTTCAAGACAAATTTTTTATTCAAAAATAAAATCAAAGAAAGCAATAAGAAACCAAACCTTAAAAAATATACAGAATAAAATACATAAATATTAAAACAAGATGAAAAAATGTACAATAAACCGATTTAAAAATAACAATAAAATATCTTCCACACTAAACAATATAAATATATATAATATTTTTTTTCTTTTATCTTTTTCTTTTTCTTCTTCTTCACTTTCTTCTTCTTCTGGGTGGTGGGTCGGGGTACGCAGATATTAATCTATTTCCCTCTAGAATGACTTTAATTTTAAAGCAGTTGACCCCACTCCATCCATGCACCCCAATGGTGAATGGGAAACTTTTAAAATAATTCGTCCTGAAAATAAAAATGAGTTTAACTTTCTGAAACTTAAAGAAACGATTGAAATGAAAGCTTTCATCGGAATGGAAAAATAGAATTACCTTGTCGAAGGATACTTTAGATCGGGCCTTGTATAATCAGGATTCCTGATACATTGTGAAATTAAGTCCCTGATGTTGCATGAATTTAAAAAGTAGCTCCTCCCCTTGACATTACCCAAATGTGTGTCTCTAACATGATTCATGATTAGAGCTTTATGATTGAGGAGGACGATGCTCCGATTATATAAAGCAATATTCAAATCAAGGGGGAGGAGTCAAGATGGAAATAAGACTGGATTGCACTCATCCATAAAATGCGCGGGAAAAAGGCAACAGCAAATGAACCAAGAATAAAATAAAATAAAAACACTGAAAAATAAAAATAAAAGAATCAAAAGACAAAGACAAATAGGTTTCTTTCAAACAATTTATTTGAATTTTCCTGATTTTCAAATTCTAAAAAGAAATGTTCAAACGGAATTAAGAAACAAAACTTCAACTACTCTGTAAATCTTTCCACAGGCCTCGCGAATGTCAAGTTCATTCAACCATGAATAGGCTTGATCAATTTCCATACCAGGATTATTGTGAAATGTCTTAATGTTATCCATGGCAAAGGCTTTCGCAACTTCCATGTTAACCTTTCTCACTGCCTCACTGAAATGAAGACGTAAGTGTTCTCGAGGAGACATCATAAGACATGCTTCTTCATTTCCATCAATGAGACATCCACAACATCGCTCTTGAATAATT